GGGGGTGCCCGGTGTGGGAGGAGTTGGACTCTGCAGACTGGCCAGTATGAGGAGAGGAGAGTTGGTTTGTTTTCAGTTGTAAACTGTTTGTTTTTTTTGTTTTTTTTTGAACGAGTGCTCCAGTCTATTCGTGGGGAGCAGTACATGCTGGGAACCGGGCCCAGCGTTCATTTGCTGTGCTATGTGCGCATGCTGGGAATTGAGGCACTGTGAGCCTTCTTTCTGGCTCATTATTCTGGCATTGCTTCTTCTTCTGTGTCTTTAGGGACTTGAATCCTCCGTGTTGCAGTGTGTGCATGACGCAGACCTTATCTCTGATGCCTGTACCCCTACTTGCGATCTGGTCTGTCTGTTTGCGCCTTGGCTTTTTCGCCATCCTCCCCTTTCCTTTCACCCACAGCTCAATGAATTCTCTGAGCGCTATATCTTTGCTTTCCCATCTTCTGCAATGCCAATAGGATGTCGGTAGCTTCACTGGTGATTATTTGGCTACCGTCTTCGCCCGAATAGAACGCCCGGTCATTACAGCCGCATTTGGCCCAACTTTCAGTCCAGATGCAGCGATAATGACCGGGAGCCTGATTAGCACCGTACACATACAGTTGCCCTTTCCTGCTGTGACCTGGTAGGCCCACGCATTCAACCCCGATAAGGTCAGGGGCGATAGTGGCCCCAGGTTCTGCGACATAGCCTCGGACTCGGACTTGGCAGCCGCCGCTGGTGAATTAAGTAATGCTCGCCAGAGGTTAAATTTTTTGCAGTCCAGTCTCAGACTGCAGAAGCGAATGCGCAGAGCATGTTGTTTGTGCTATCAAAGATGATCCGTCTAGTCGTGTCTCGTCCAAACTCATTCTGTCATCCCATTATTGGTTGTCCATTGATCATTTGCGAGCCGGAGCACAGCCTCTGTCAGATACAGCACAATCCCACACGTCCACGACACGTACTCTACGCAGATTGCCGACCCAATTTCACCCAGGCATGACGGCAGACAGAAGGCGAAGGCGACATAACAGCCACCAGAAAAGAACTAGTTGTGCTTTGTTTTCTTCTCCTTTTTCAGTCATTCTTTCCCTTCTAGGTGAGAAAATGACAAAATGGAAAAGCAAGAGGATGTGAGCATTAGCAAACTGGGAATCGAACAGGACACGAGTGCTAACACTGAAAGACATAGATAGACGCACGGAGACATACATACGTAAAGACAAACAGAGGCAGTCAGACAGTCAGGGGAATCGAACAGGACACGAGCGCTTACACCGAAAGACATAGACACACGGAGACATCCATACGTACAGACAAACAGAGACAGTCAGACAGTCAGAGAAACAGACAGGCAGTGAGACAGACAGACAGACAGATACACACACACACACACACTGCTTTAGAGCATGGGCTGTTTCTACGGATGGCCGCGAGCTCTCTTTGGGAGGAATGTATGTTTTGTGGGCCGGCGTCGAAGGCTTTCCGACTTTTTTCGGACCCTTAGCAGCAGGGGGGGTCGGTGCGCTTTTGCCGGAGGAGTCTTCTGTCTTAGGCAAGTTATTATCTCTTATCGTCTTCCTCCTCTTTGGCAGTGAAGATGCGAGTGTATAGTTTGAGATGAATGTCGGGAATGTCGATGCTGTTATATTCGGACCCTGGTTTTGTGGGACGATGCCAAAGGCTCTCCCCAAGTTTTTTTGGACCTTCGAGGGGGTCGGGTCGGTGCCTTCTTGCTGAAGTAGTCTTCTGTCTTAGGTAAGTTGCCTTCTGCCCTCCATCCCTGTATGCTTTGAAATATATAGGTATGCATATGTATATGTGCAAGTGTGCCGCTTTGGCGGCAGACGGGTGTGTGGGCACTTGGCGCTGAACCGCACAAGTGTGGCCGACCTTGCATTTTCTATTATACTGCTCATCTATACTTTTTCGTTATGGATATACTTTTTCGTTATGGATGGCTTGTGCTGATTTGTGAAGGGAATGAGAGAGAGAATCTGGGGTCTTTGAAAACAACACACACACACACACACACACACACACACACACACACACACACACACACACACAGAGAGAGAGAGAGAGAGAGAGAGAGAGAGAGAGAGAGAGGGTCAATTGGACAGCTTTTCTCTTTGAAACAACTACCGGTAGGTTAGCTTTCCATCAGCTTGCAGAGGAAGAGAGAGATAGACAGGAGCAGTATACAGAGTGAGAACACACTGTGCTCTCACCTTGCTGCACTGATAGCCTTTGCAAGTGGACTAAACCTGGTTTGAGGGTAGCCGACCATAAACAAGGTAGTGGAGAGATCAAGGAGTGAAAAAAACAGAAAAGTAATGATGGCTTTTAGTGTGTAGTACTGTATACAATAGACAGGAGTAGAGAGATGGAGAAGTAATGATGGCCGTTAGTGTGTAGTACTGTATACAATAGACAGGAACCAAACGGAGAAAACAAAACTGAAAACAACATACACAATCATACAGGAAGAACCTTCTCCTCAATGCATCTCGAAACCTCTGTGTGTGTGTGTGTGTGTGTGTGTGTGTGTGTGTACATATTGACAACACGTGTGTGTGTTTGTGTGTGTGTTTGCTTACATATTGACTGTGTGTGTGTGTGTGTGTGTGTACATATTGACCACACGTGTGTGTGTGTGTGTGTGTGTGTGTGTGTGTACATATTGACCACACGTGTGTGTGTGTGTGTGTGTGTGTGTGTGTTTGCTTACATATTGACAATGCACACCATCATACAGGTAGAAGTTTCTCCTCAATGCATCTCGAAACCTCTCTCTCTCTGTCTCTCTCTCTCTCTCTCTCTCTCTCTCTCTCTCTCTCTCTCTCTCTCTCTCTCTCTCTCTGTGTGTGTGTGGCTGTGTGTACATATTGTAATGTTCAGCTTCAAAGTCTGTTCTCTGTATCGTATCCTCATCGGATGAAAAAAGTAATATCATGGAAGAAAGAGGATAATCTGGAATGTGGCAGTGGTTCAAAGCACTGCATGGTTTTAACTTTTGAGGTTTTGAAATCTTGATTGCATAACAGTGGTCTGTCAGATCAGCTCCCCACCACCACCTCCCTTTTTTTCTCTCAATTTCTCACCCTCTGCGACTGGGTATTGCATTTATTGAGCCCCATCGCATTACATGGAAGATCTTAGGTTCTGTGTGTTGCATGGTTGTTGGAGCCTTCATGAAATTGCTGTTGGCACTCTCAGAGGAGCAGTTCATTGATTCTTTTATCAGCAGTGCATGATGGGAAGGGGGGGGGGGGRGGAGGRGGGGGGATGGGATGTCTTCCTCATCCTGATTTCACTTTTGCCTCAAGCTTTGAAACTTTGTCCATGATTGTCTTTTCCTTTTCCATGAAGTCCTTCTGAAGATCCTTCTTTACGATGGCTACTCGTTCTCGTACAGCAAATTCCACAGCCTCTTGTATGGACTGCGGTGCGCGCTTTTTCGCTTCTTCTGCAGCAGCTGCTTCTAGTTTCATCTGCTCCTCTCGTGCAATTCTGCTCGCTTCTTCGGCTTTCGCTTTGGCCTCTGCCTCTGCTTTAGCCCTCTCCATTTCCTCCTGTGCCTGGCAATAACAAAAAAAGCACCAGGAAAAACACACAAACCCCATCAAAATGAGAGTAAGCCTACGCTGAAAAAAAAAAAACAAACGGTTGCTAATCGCCTTCAGCTGTTTGTTCCTCAGTCTGTCAGCAAGATCGAAAACGAGAAGAGACCCAAATCATAGCAGCCATTCATTCACAGAGTACAGTGGGTTACACGTGTGACGTGTAGCAGACGCAGTTCACCGTCTGTACAATTCACAGCAACCTCCACCTGTATGTAGTCAGCAAGCTTGTACACGTACAACACGAAGTCGGCCACACCTGCGGCCACATTGTACACACGTGCACAAGCCAGTGGGCTAAGCATGAGGCCAGCTTGTACACATGTACAGCACAGAGTGGGCAGCGCCTCTGGCCAGGTTGTACTCGTGTACAACTCAAGTGTGTTATGCCTTTCACCGCACAGGTCGTACACTACCATCTTCACCCGAATAGAACGCCCGGTCATTATCGCTGCGTTTGGCCCAACTTTCAGTCCAGATGCAGCAATAATGAGCGGGCGTTCTATTCGGGTGAAAGATGGTAGTACACCTCAGAAGAAGCTACACCTCTGCTGTTACATACTTCAATGAGTGTGGGCAGTACCAAAGATCAACCAATGTAGGATGAGCATGTATGCAGCGGAAGTCTGATAAACGGACTGATTCACATAGACTGACTCAAGAATCACTCCACACACATACAATCGTGAGATGGTGGGGTCTGGGCCAAGCATGGACGATGCCCAGATCCCGTACATTCATACACAGATGAAAGGTGGGAGGAGAGACGAAGAGGTGAGGGAGGTAGACAGCACCGGTAGGTCACCGGAATAGAATCCGATAGGTCACCGATATGGTAATCCAAAATGTCATCCAACAAGATCAAAATGTCGAGGACAATCAGTCACCAATGTCGGAGATACAGAGTCCAAATGTAACCGGTGTCCGAACTGTGATKCCGCCAAGTATCAACCCCAACAATCTCCAAGTCTCCAGTCTGGTAAGTACCACAGTCTCATACCACCGAAGCCCAACACTGATCTCTGTCCAACTAGTACAAGTCTCCAATCTGAAGAAGAAGAAGAAGAAGAAGAAGAAGGAGTCTGAAGAGAAGAAGAAGAAGAAGAAGAAGGAGTCTGAAGAGAAGAAGAAGAAGAAGAAGAAGGAGTCTGAAGAGAAGAAGAAGAAGAAGAAGAAGGAGGAGCCGAGGAGGAGAGAGAGAGAGAGAGAGGGGACTGATGATGGGAGGGAGGAGAGAACCTCCAGCTCCCTGATACCTCAGGCGGCGATGGCCGCCGGTCTGGCTCAGTCGCCCTGCTGCTGCTCCGCTCGCGGCTGCATTGCTCCTCGCTGCTCCTGCGCTAAAGATAGCGCCAGCTCTAATGTGCGCTGTACCATAGCGTACTGGTAGAGTACCGGTAGGTCGATCCCTTCGACTGAGGCTGGACCGGTTCTTTATACCGGTGGGGCAGAGGCCGGCCTCAATGCTGCGAGGCCTGGCCGTGCCCTGAACTGTCCAGATGGACGTTCAGCCCCAACCGGCGGGCGGCAGCCTCGCCCGTCGGGTCCGGTCCAAGGTGAGGCCTTTACGGCCTGTAGTACCCCCCAAGGTCGGCCCTTTGGCCCTACTATGTCCCTCTACCCCTATGTTGGGTTTGGTAGAACCCGTGTGGCGTAGAAGATGTAACACACTCCCCCTCTTAAAAGACCAAGCTACCTGCAAGGGCGGAGTTGTCTGTCCGATACCGGGATGGGTCGGGTGGGACGAGCTGCTGCCTTTCGCAAGTTGTGTCTTCTCACAGTTGGCGAAGATGAGGGGTGCAGAAGTCTGCAAGTCTGCACTAGAGATCCACCGAGTGAGTGTCGTCAGGCGCACATTGCTTGAATGTGACTTTGTACTGCCTTGGCTTGTTGCCATACTTGCGGTGCGTGATGACTCGGTCCACTTCCTGATGTCCGTCAATAGAAGGCGGATCCCGTGATCGATGTCCGGGAAACTCGTCCACTGAAGGTGGCATGTAGATGGCCAGCTTCGATGCGTGGAAGACCCGATGCATGCAAGGTGCGGTGGAATGTTGATCACGAAGGAAGGACCTGCGGGGTCGTCTCCAACGGCAGAAGTGACTTCCCATGGTCCGAACCATTTCGGAAGGAGTTTGCGCGAAACGTCCTGCTCGAGCGCAAATTCCTCGGAGAGGATCCAAACAAGGTCTCCCTCACGGAAAGGACATGGAAGTCGACGTCGGTTAGCTTGCTGTTGCATGCGGATTTGAGCCTTTTGCATATTTGCGCGGGCTTTGATCAGCAAGTTCCGGTACTTCTGAACGGAAGTGGGAGAGCAAGGGACGTCTATATTGGCAGCCTGTGGCAAAAGGAGATCAGCGAAGATCCGTGCTTTCTCTCCGCCATGATGTAGCTCGAATGGTGTGAAGCAGATCGCCGGATGCACCGAAGTGTTATAGGCGAACTTGATGTCGGGAAGCCGGTCAACCCAATCTTTCTGGTCGGGACGGATGAACGTACGCAACATCATCTGAGTGGTTTGGTGCGCTCGCTCCGCCTGGCCATCCGTCTGCGGGTGCCGAGCCGAGCTCGGCTTCATAGTCGTACCGGACTCAGCCATGAGGGAAGTCCAAAAGGTCGACATGAAGCGAGTATCTCGGTCGCTCACTATGTCTTCCGGAACACCCTGGTTGGTAATCCAACCGGTGTGCAAGAATCGTGCGAGCTCTGAGTGCTGCAGCATGATACTTGCAAGGAAGGAAGCGAGCATACTTGCTCAAACGGTCAACGACCGTGAGAATACCGTCATGGCCGTGGCGATCGCGGGGAAACGGGCCTGTCACGTCCATAGCAATGGAGAGGTGTGCCCGAGCGATTGGCAACGGTTTCAGTTTGCCGAAGAGGACTCGAGATCGACCCTTGTTACAGTGGCGAACTGCACATGACTCAGTGTACCTCATGACGTCATGAAGGACGTTGGGCCAGTGAAAACGCTGGCGGAGGCGTGCTAGTGTGCGGTTCACGCCAAGGTGTGCCGAAAGTCGTGCGTCATGGAATTCGCCGAGAAGATGAGTCCGTAAGATGCGATCTTGGGGCACAACTAACAAGTCCTTTCCTCTCGTGTGAAGGAGAAGGAACCCGTCGGAAATCCGATAGTGGCTAGCCGGCGGGTGATCCGATGAAAGCTCCGTGTAAAGCGTAGAGTAAGTCGGATCGGACTTGTAGCCTTTGACGAAATGCGGTTGCAGATCGTCATCGAGGTCGAATGCCGTGGTCACAATGGCACAAAAGTCGGGCCGTCGTGAGAGGGTGTCCGCAGCTCGATTGGCGGGACCGGGAATGTGGCACGGGTCAAAGTCGAATTGGTCGATGTCATACATGCATCGACCGATCGTACTAGTGATCGTATCCTATGTTTTGTAAAAGGTCAACGGATTGTTGTTCGTATTCCATTTAAAATGCCGACGACCGAGAAGAAAGTGGCGCCACTGTTTGAGAAAGGTGACGAACGTGAGTAGCTCTTTCTTCCTAGCGTCGTCGAGAGTGTTTACGAGAGGCACCTTTTGGGAGAAATACTCAACCGGATGCCAACCGTCCTCGTGACACTGTTCCAACACCGCACCAAYCCCGTATCCCGAAGCGTCCGTAGTCACTTGGGTGGGTAGGGTGGGGTCGTATGTACGGAGGGCAGGTGCGGCTTGCATCGCTGCCTTCAACGTAGTGAACGCGCCACGGGCTGCGTCGTCGAACTTGAAGGGCACCTTCGGGGACTGAAGTCTCGACAAAGGAGCTGCCACTTTCGAGTATGACTCGACGAATCGCTGATAATATCCACCCAATCCCATGAAAGAGCGTACGTCCGTCGTGCAACGGGGTTCCGGCCAATCCACGATGGCTTGGATTTTGTCTATTAATGGACGAATGCCTTTTGGCGTAACATAGTGGCCCAAATACTCAAGCTCTTGCTTGGCGAACTCGCACTTGTCGCGGTTCACTTTGTACTTGGCCAGTCGCAAACGATTCAAAACAGCGTGAAGGTGTGTGATGTGCTCGTCCAATGTCCTGCTATAGACCAAGATGTCATCGAGGTAGATGAGGACGCTGCGATCGAGCAAGTCGCGAAACTCAGCCGTCATAGCTGCTTGAAAAGTTGCGGGGGCATTGGCGAGGCCAAAAGGCATGACAACCCACTCAAAATGCCCGTACCGCGTCTTCAATGCGGTCTTGTATTGATCTTGAGGCTGGATTTCAATCTGGTGGTAACCTGACTTCAAGTCCAACTTCGAGAAGTGCGTCGCGTCACCTAACCGCTCAAGGAGATCATCAATCCAAGGGAGAGGGCCGGCGTTCTTTACGGTTTGTTGGTAAGTTTGCGATAGTCGATGCATAACCGTAGATCTTTGTTTTTCTTCCGGACGAAGAGAACAGGTGCTCTGTATGGCGAGCTATTAGGGCGAATCCAGCCCTTGTAGAGAAGGTCATTGAGTTGTGCGCGAAGCACCTCGAGTTCCTCTTCGCTCATGCGGTAGATACATCCACGCGGAGGGATGGCGCCCGCCTCGAGAGTGATCCCGTGACGTATGGCCCGATCCGGAATCGTTCCGGTGGGCGCCTCGAAGACGTCTCCATACTCGTCCAAGAGGTGAGTGATGCGTGGGTCCGGCGGTGACGCGGCTGGTCCGTCCTGTGAGGGGAGAGCATGCAAGAATACAAGGCCCATCTCCTCGACGTCATTCCGAGTAATGGCGTTGCGAATTCTTGCAATGGAAACCACGCGACAAGCAATCGAAGTGTGAGGGGTCGCGACCGTACATGGGACTAACACTCCGTTCCGATCACGGATGTGAACGATTCGGTCATGGAAGTTCACCGGATGATCGGCGCTACGCAACCAAGACATGCCTAGAATCATGTCGAACTTGGTGTCGAGGATGTCAAAAGACATCGGCTCGCACGCGAGTGGCGCAAAGTAGACCGGAACACCGTCAACGCATCGGTCAATTGACTTTTGCGTGCGGCCGTCCGCGAGTGTAACTTGTGTAGGTTGCGTGTTCCTTCGAACGTGCGGGCCAAGACCTGCGCGGGCCATAAAGCCTTGGCTCATAAAGTTGCGAGACGCTCTGCAATCAATCAAGGCACTGCAGGTTGCCTTCTCGGTTTGAATGCGGATATAGAGCAAAGGTGCGTCGGTTTCGGCGAACCTTTGGGTGGCGTACTCGCGGTCAATCTTCGCAAGATAGGAGCGGAGATCGACAACCGCTACTCCGTCGTCTGTCAACGGAGCTGGTACTGTAGTGTGCAAATAGGAGCGTAGAGTTGCCATCAAGGCGTTGCAATGCGGCCTTGGCAAGGTTCCGGTGGAGGGTAGAGGCATCCAAGCGAAGTCCTCTCTCGTGAGCGGGTCAAGGCTCAAGTCTTGACCACGTCGTCGAGTCCTCGGAAATCAGTGGCAAACTGACCGGATCACTTGCCGACGGTGTACAGGCCGTGCACACGCAATCTAAGTGCACGTGGCTTGGCTGGTCTAGTGGTGGTACCAGCTGGGCGGCATAATCCTCGTACGTGCCACGAGAATCAGCGACTAACGCATGCTCCCCGGTAGTGACATCGATTGCTAGCAAGGCAACTGGKTCCGGCGGAGTGAGGAGAGACGTCGCCCCTCTCCTTGCGTAACTCAGTTTCCCGAGTTTGCTGGACGGGGTACGCGTGCCTTGCCCTTTTCGGGGCATTGTGCGGTCACATGAGTGACGCCGTTGCACCAAAGGCAGTATCCGTACTTTTGACGAAGGTCATAGACATCCTTGGTTATCTTGTACGCCGTCCATGGCTGCTGCCCAGTTTCCGTCGATGCCGTCTCTTGTGTCGCCTTGTTCTTTCGAACTCTCTTGGGACGCTTCGGTGGGAGCGCTGCTACAATTCCTCCATCACTCGAGGATGCTGCTGCAGCGCGGAGATCGTCTGTTTCTTCAGAAATCGCGGCATTGTTGTGTGTCGGACGTTGATAGCCATGCTTAGCCACATAATGCGACTGGGATTGCCATTCGTTTGCGGCCTTGTCATCCGTTTGGATGACCAAGTTTGCACGATCCAGAATGGCCTGGAATGAATTGTAATCGTACTCATTGTCGAGTGCCGATCGCAGTCCTGCGCACGATCGCGAGAAGAACTCGGATCGTTGATTGGTAAAACTCAAATCGAAGCCGGGCGTGGTCACTATCTTCTGCCACTTAGTTGTCCAGTCTCGAGTTGGCATACTACCTTAAGAGCAGGTGTACACCTCGTTCATGGCCGCCTTCACGACGTTGCGGACCATGAACGGGGTGAACCATAGCTTCTCGAACTCCTTCCACGTGATGTGCGTGTGGAGTTCGGCGATGGTGCAGTTGTTGGTAGCCGCCAGATGGTTCATCCAAGCTTGCGCTCCTCCAATCAGTTGCAAGTAAAGCGCCTTCATCATGTCGTCCGCCGGGACAGTGCGGCATGATGCTTCCGTGAGGAAATGTTGCCACCATGTGAAGGCGTCCGACTTGTTGTAGTCATCGAACTTGCTGATGTCGAAGTGCGGCATCTTGTAAGTCTTCGCAGCGGCGTCCGGTCTCGTCTGCAGCTTGGTGATGTCCGTCTTGATGGCGGCCACCGTACTACTGATCGTGTCCGGTCCATTGAAAACACCTATGTCGCCGATGAGTTTGACGACGTGATCGATGCGCCCATTGAGCTGCCTCGTCTCGTCTGTTGTGCAGCCTGGCGCTGCTGAGGCCTTGGCCTCAATGCCGTTGATGCGTGCGAGGGTAGAGTTCAACAGCTGTTGCTGTGGCTGCTGCTGCGTTGCTGCGTCGCAGACGGCAGCCGTTACAGTGGCCAGGTCTTGCTGGTACTGCTGTCGTTGTTGTCGTTCCGCGTGCAGGTGTGCCTGCAGCAGTTTGTTGTTCCACATTACTCCCCTCATCACATTCAACATCACGGTAGCCAGGTTACTTCTCTCTGCCTCCTCCTGTGTCGGCTCCGCCTGCGTTTCCGTAGGCACAAAGAACATGCCTTGAAGCAGTGTTGTCCACTGATTTTCACAGGCAATCAGGGACTCCGTGCTGGCGGCATTCCGTCGGTCTCGTGCCACTGCGTCAGCCTCAGCAGTCTGCTGAGCTTGGGCTGCCGCCTCATTGGCCAGCCGCTGACGATCTGCCTCTGCTGCCTCCTGCTGAGCCTTGGCGGCAGCTACGGCATCTGTAAATACCTGTAGCCGCCCCAGATAGTCAGCCAACGGCTCACTGGCCCCTCGGACCGGGCATGCGGGAAGAACTCCGGTGGTGTCCGGTACTGTCAATGCTGTACTTGATGCTGCTGGAGTCTTTCGCTTGCTGAGTCGCTTGGGTCTTGGAGGTACCGCAGAACGGGCACGAACTGCAAGCTTGGAGCTGCGTCGTGGCAGTGCCCCGGTGTCCTGTTCCGCCGACATCAGTCTGGACTGATGTGGTACTTGAGACGTCCCGGTGGTCACAGATTTCGGGGAGGGTAGAAAGAGAGTGGGCACAGGGGTAGAACAATCAAACAATACACATGCAGTCCCCTGTCCCACTGATGGACTGTAGACACCTAATCAAGACAGAAAAACAAATTTCCCGTAAACAATTCAGAAATCCGTAATAAGAAAAAATTAACGAATTTTTAATCACTAAAACTTAATTAATGATAAATAACGAAATAATCATTCTTAATGATAATCCATCAAACAATGTTTGTAATAAGGATAATCAATAACCAATATTTGCAATAATGGTAACGAACGAATTTGAATTGTATCAAGATTAGGTCCCTTTGAGATCAAATACGGTCCGGGAATTCACCGTTAATGAG